AGTTGTATACACTTTGTGAGTAATTTTGTTTGATATCCAGACAGTGAGTTTAAGCTCTATATTATTTTTGTGTACATTTAACATGCATTTATATTTATATATTTTTTAAAACAAAATAAAACAACATTTCCAGGTCAACTGCAGTAATGGTGGTGTATGTCTACACTATTGTGATGAACACCTCCCAGTTAACCAGACACTGGGAAAATGTGATTGCAAAGCTGGCTGGGAAGGAGACTTCTGCACTATAGAGGTTAGTTATCTTTTATATTTCTGCTTTTAATTTTTATTTTTTATTTTATTTTTTTTTCCCACTAGTTCTTTGGTCTTTGATGTGATTTATGCTAATTAATGATAAAAGTCTGTGCATTATAGAGAACCAAGGCCAGAAAAGAAAAGTAAAAATCTTTAACTTCTGTCCACTTTTCATTATACAATAGATATAATTTGAGTAAATAAGAGACAAATACATGTAATCATAAGATTTTTTTCCACTTATCTGCTTTCACTAATTCATCCAATTTGTTTAGGTCATACTATTCCCATCAGATGTGGATTTGGCCATCATTGTAGGATGTGTTGTTGGACTCATGCTAGTCATAGCAATAGTTGGTCTGACAGTTTTCCTCATGATGGCAAAAAAGAAAAGACAAACTAGAGGAACCTATTCACCCAGCAGACAGGTATGCATAAATTTCATCTTTTGAGGAGTTTGTTGGATAGAAAACCAGATTTCTGCCTGTAGAGGTGGTGCAACTGGCATTATATAGCGCATCATTCTCAGGATATTGGAAACAAATATTCTGCTCCTAATCCTTCCAGCCCAAAGAGGACTTCAAATTATATGATTTTATCATTTAATAACTCAGTGTCAGTGGGTGGCTGGCTGTAATAAGAAGTACATCTATTGTCTTTACACATAGATGGCTCTACAAATGTTTAGTCACCAAGGAGTCAGCTATTACTATTATTTATCTCATCTGTTTACCCTTTCCCTTCACTTTTTTAAAAGCTTCACTTCTATTATTGTCTTTGATGTTATTAATATTTTGATAACAATTTCATAATTATAATATCAGTAAGAATGATAGCGCATTTTCTGCCAATTCAAGGAAAAGGGAAATCAGGATTGGTCACTAGGGCCAACTGATAGAATCCTTGCTGCCGAGCACACGTGGAGCCATCTGTATGTAACAAAACTCACTAAAATATAAAGGGGACAGTAAATAAATCTGCTGACATTGGGTTAAAGTAATGATTTGTGTTGAAATTAATATTGTTAATAGAGAATAGGAATTGAGATGCATATTTTATTTCTTTATTTATTTTTTAATAAATTTTCATCAGGCATTTTACAGCATTCATGGAGAATATGAAATGAGATTCATTATATTTTAATTAATTTTTTTTTTCCTCCCCCAGGAGTTTTACAGTCCACGAGTCGAGATGGGGAACATGATGAAACCCCCACCAGAGGAAAGACTCATCTGAGGAATGTAGTGCTTCTAAGAGCTGACTATAAAAAAACCTCCACTGTGAGAAGATGCTCAATTGCGAAATCTCTGTGCACCCTTTGATCTCCTCAGCCGGAAAGATCTCTTGCTGGAAGATTTGATGCTGATGTGTAAAACATTATTTTAGGATATTAATAATGGAGGCTATAGAGAACTTGGATTGGCTGAGGAACTTTGTACACAATGAAGAAGTTACAAGCATGTGGTGTGGCACTAGAGATATGCTGAAGAGACTAACGTGCTTGAACAATGCAGTGATAATGGCCTTGTGGAAGAGGCTACATGTATATAAATATATTAAGTAATGACTGAAGACTCAACAATTTAAATGGATACATATGCATCCAGAAGCTGTTTATGGAAGGGAATGCTTTAAAATGAAAATTTATAAAGATATTTTGAACAAGTCTAAGAATGTTAAACAAATTTTTACGACAGCTGTTGCAACAAGACTATTTATAATGTGATATAGTTGAGTCTGGATATATTGACACAGGTTACCGTGACCTGTGACTTTTTTCCTTATTCATATTTCTAGGAAATTCTGTGAGAATTTGATTACAGAAAGCTTGCTCAGTTGCTGTTTAGTATATTCTTTGTACTGCACAGATACAATATTCAAAATGAAAAGGACCAGTTTATTAAAATATAAAATGACAGATAATGACTTTATAAAAGTTAGGAGTTTGGAATGCAAGAATGAATGAGGGTAAGGTAAGTAGCAAGGGACAATAATGTCTTCCAAAAGTAATATCCAGTGTTCCATAAATGGAAAATTAAATTTGATTTTGTGTCCCCATAGCCTTTATGAAAGTTACTCTTGAAAATGCAAGAAGAATGCAGGTTTAAATGACTGCAGATTTTTAATGTGCTGAGAAGTGTTCAGAATGAGTTTGCTTTTACAAGATTGTAATTAGACTGTCCTAATTATGCCTGTTTCTTTTTTTCTTCTTTAAAAAAAATATATAAATGCTGATTTTGCTTTTTTACTTGGCATCAATTGTGTATGCAGTAAACCACCAATAGATTTCTTTCTTTATCAGTTTCTCTATATGTTTTTGTTATTTAATATTTTGATTGCTATGTGCTGTCTGTATTATGGTTGTATGAATACTAAACACTTTGTAAGTATGAATGCCGTGTATATATCTCATAGATAGTCAATTCATCTCTTAAATGATGAGCAGATAAAAAAAATGAGTTGTTAGTTTTTTATTATTCCTTTTAAATTGGAAACCCAATTTGTAAATCTTAACTCTTTGAAATCCTGTTGCCAAGTACTTACTACTATGAAGCTGTAAAGGACATACCACATTGAGTCAGCTTTGCCACTCCGTAGGACTATTTGTTACTTATATATTTCTGAGCCAATCCTTAATTGTGCAGTAAATACCAAAAAAACTGTTGTTTCATATCATACTTCAGTTGCTGCTATGACAATACCTGATGTGAGGAAATCTGGTACTTGGGAACTACAGTTATTTTATTATGTCAAATCTGTTGATATAATCTGTGATCCTTGAGAGTTGTTCCCATACATATCATATGGCAACTTTTTTTATGAATTTCATCATTTCATCTGACCCTATTTCTATGACAAGTGTAAGAATCTGTTCTTGATTTTTTTTATTTCACATTGTTTTCCCAGTGTACACAAGTACTGTAAAGTGAACTAGCTATTGCTTGAAGTATAATTTATACACACCATTGGTTGTATTTGGTGCAATAATAATGCCATATTCAGTTCCATACTAGCAAAATATCCAGATAGAGACAATTTCATATTAATGGCACCAACAGAGGGTATATTCAGGTATATTGCAATAAATTATATTGTATATTTAAACTCAAATCAGTTAGGTGAAACTGTATGGTAATGATTTTCCCGTCTTTTGTAGTACATTCCTTTTTCTGATCCCTGTGAAAGTGATGATTCAGATGACCTGTATAAAGTATATGTGAATTGTAGAATATTAGTTTTTCATGCAAGCTCAGGTTAGCCATTTTGTTGAGACTTTGTTTTGCCACCCAACAAGCACAGCTGTGTATCAGTGCTGGAGTTGTTTTATTGTTTGAATCTCAAAGGTTGATATTTTTTGTGATGTTCAGCCACAAGGGAACATCTGTCAGAAACCTATTTCTAGTTCGAAATTCCTCTGTGATATATTTCCATCCAAGATATACTTGAAGCTACAGTGCCTTTTTGAAGAAGTATTCAAATCACCATAAGAGAAAGAGGGGACGGAGATAGTATTTGATAATGTGTTTCAGAAGGGGGCTTTGAGGTAGAGAAAGTCCTTATATTGCATTATCTCTTAGTGTCTCTTACAAGAATAGAACCCACCTTGTACTTACAGATACAGGTTTTTCCTGAAGGATTTACAGAACCCTGTGTGATGAACATATTCAGGTGATTGTGATATTGTTTTGGAAAACTAGAGACATCAATGTTAGTTTTTCATCAGTATGCATTTTTGCAGTGGCAAATGTAAATCTGTAGGTAGAATGAATGTTAATCCTAATGTAAGGATTTTTTGAATAACAGATTTTCCAGATTAGTTTTATATCCAATTTTATCTTGGTGCAAAAGATGTGACGATTGGCAAAAAAAAAAAAAAAAAAAAAAATTGGCGCCATATTATTAAGAAAAATATTTTCATTACTGAATTTGAGGGACCAATGTATAGTTTTTACTTTTTAGTAAGTCAAATTTCTAAGACGTGTATAGTTTTTGAATGGAAAAATTGACAAAGGAAACACATACTAGTAGAATTTTATTCCCAATTTATTGTACAGTATTGTATATGTACCATTTAATTATTTAAAGTATAACAGAATTCTGATTTTTATTTACTCCCTTTTTAAACAAATAATAATAAAGAAAGAAAAATGTCTACAAGCCTTCTTAGACAAATGGTAGTGTTTGATAGGCTCAATTATTTCTATATGCTTTATATTTTATACACCTCCAATACCTTGCTTGTCATGAGGGGCTTAGGAGGTGGGGAACTGAGAGGCCCCTGCCATGGCCCCAGTCCTTGCCTCAATGAATTTTGTATGGATTCCCCCCCCCCCCTTTCATTTTCCTTCTCTTCTTCATCCCCTTCTGTTCAGTCATGCTAAGTGTTAACTCATTTTTACTCTACTTCTTCATAATGCTATATGTCCTTTGATGTCAAGCACATTTATTTGTTTTAACCATTAACCATTCTGGGAATCCACAAACATTGCCTTATGATAAATACACACTATAAGGATCCTTGATGACATACCAAAAAAAGGATATTTATAAGCATTCCATAATTTTATAAAGACTAATATATAATCATCATTGGTCATAGTAATAATTAATAATAATAATAAACAAAAAGTAACTCAAAATTCTTGAAATAATATTGTACATCTAATAGAAAAGTTCTTGGAAACCATCTAAAGACAACAGTGCCAGAGTGTGCCATATTAGAGTGACATTCTAAAGCCATCAAA